CGGAGGGGGGGGGGGGGGGAGTTGCTGTAGCAGGTATATGTTATAATAACGCACAGATATTGTATAAGTCCTGCCCATATACTGCTGCTGGTAGTAAGATATCATATGTTTATTGCTTATACAGTGACAGAGACTAGGCAGACCAAGTTTTTTTCACTGACAGTTGACAATTTTAATTCACAGACACAGCAAAATTATAATTAAAAAAAGCAATGGGCAAAAATCACACTTTGGATAAATAAATACAACATTGAGATAAGAGTCCCATTCACACGGGGTGTTCTGGCAAGAGGCTAAGGCTTACTACAGCAGGAATCCCAGGTGTCCCGTTGAGATGCACCCGCTGTCACCCGTTCAAGTGAATGACAGCGGCCACACCTTAAAGCAACAGTCCGTATGTAATTGTACAGGAAAGGTGTATCCAGGGGCAATCATCTTTCCAGAACCACGTACGATTACATGTGGACTGCCGGTTACAGATGCGGCCGCTGTCACTCGACCATTTACTTTAATGTGTACAGTGGCCGCATCTTAACGGAGACACCCAGCATTCCTTCCGCAGGAATCTGTAGGTTCCAGCCACAGTAATGCCAGGTCGCCCCGTGTGACTGGGGCCTTAGAGTCCCATTCATTGGCTGAAGAAATCCCAATTAGCAACATGGAAACAGAGAAAGCCCAACTCCAATCCAAAGTTTTTCAGCTTTGTATGGGAAGTGGAAAGGTTAGAATATTTGGTAGGTTTCTATTGTTGTCTGTGACCCCACAGATTCCCCTGACTTACTGTATGGCCACCGGGAACAAAGACAGCAGTATATATATGTATATCTCACAGAAATGTTATCCCTGCTGCGCACTATACAAAACTAAAAGAAACTGGATCAGAGAAGACGTTTAAATCTCAGTAGCACCATAATGTGTGACACGGACTCTTTATACCTTAATCCAAGTCAGGTAAAGACAATTCCAAAAGTGAAAGCTGAACTCCAGGCAGATATAAAAGACACAAATTATGTCTATAACCATGATTTTTTTGTTAAAATGCAAGCATTGTAAGTACCTGAATGTGACCCGGTATCAGCCTCTTGCAGTTCCTTTATAGCAAGGCTGGAGTGTGAGCGATGGAAGCAGCACAAACAGCCAATCAGTCCATGTGCTGACAAGAAACATGTTGATAGGAGGAGAAAGCTGAGCGACAGAGAGATGTACTTGTCACTGAGCTGCTTCTCCTCTCAATCTCCAGTCACAGCCTGGAGGTGGGTCCAGGATGACCTGGGCTCAGAGGAAGTAGTTTAAATTATGCTGGCCTACAGACTGAGGACATCTGGTGGCAGAGACAAAATACTGCGGGGGAAATCTTTGGATTGAGAGTGTATATTGCATCAAAAGCAGATGTTGTTATATTATCTTTTACTGGGCTATACATTTTTATCTAGCGATTTTTGGCTGGAGTGCTCCTTTAATAAATTCTCCGATTCTTGGAAATTGTTAAGGTGCACACAACAGCCTCGGGCTTCTCCATACATCTAAGTGAGGATGTCAGAAGATAATTGACACTTACTATTAAAGGAGAACTATAGGGTCAGTGCTTTTCCCCATAGTTCTCCTTGGGGTAATGGGAGGACACAAACTAGCGTCCTATAGTTAGCCTAAGCTGAGTATAAAGCGAGCTACAGCTGGCGGTATACTGAGACGCCACAGCCGGAGCGGTGACAGGATCGAGAGGTTAGCGAACAGTCTCATTGTCACAGGTCGGCTAGAACTATGAGGTGAGTGAAAAGCACTCACCTCATAGTTCTCCTTTAAGGAAGTGGGCTGAAAGATGCTGACCATCAAACTGAGGACATCTGGTGGTAGAAAAGAAGTACTGCAAGGGAAGTTTCTGGATTAAAGGAGCAGACTACGAAAAAATATCTAGACTAGGGATGCACCGATACCGTTTTTTCGGTATTGAGTACGAGTACCGATTTTTTTTTCCAGTACTCGCCGATACCGAATACTGCTACTGGCATCCGTGAGCCCGGAAATATCAGGAAGCCGGTGTTCTATCGAAAGAACACCAGCTTTGCTTCCCTCGACATTGCGAGGCAGCCTGGCTTCCTGATTAATCAGGAAGCCGAGTGGCGAGTCATGATGTGCCGCCCCGGCTTCCTGATTGGTCAGGAAGCCAGGCTGCCTAGCAACACGTAAAGTCAGCTTCCTAGCCAATTAGGAAGCCGATAGGCGGGTCATAACTACCCAACAACAACATAGCCGGTTCCATGCTCCCTCGTGGCAGAGGGAGATATTCCTCCGTCTGCAAGTTCCGGTATCGGATGTATCGGGGCATTTGGGTGAGTAGGAGTACAGGTACGGGTATCGGCACCTATACTGATACTAGTATCGGTATCGGTGCATCCCTAATCTAGACATTTCCAGCTTTAAGCTTCCACTATCCAGACTGTCACAAATAAATTTAAATAAAGGGGAGCTGTTAGCCTTTATTCACACAGGAATGGGCCGGCACGTACAGCTCCATACTGCGTGCATGGCCGTACTGAGCAGCTCCCGGGAAGGACAGGTGCTGCGTGTGATTAGTGCACAGCTGCCATTCTGCTCTATGGCACTACGTGGCCGTACGCCGCCCTACGCTCACCTCAAGTGCAGGTCTGTGCGGGTGCGTGTTTCCTGGCTCGGACGCAGACAGGATCCATCCTGTCAGCGTAGGAGTACGTTCACCCGCACTCGAACGGACGTGCAGGGCGGGTGAGCGTAGAGGGGGTGTATGGCCACGTAGTCCCATAGAGAAGGACGGGGGCTGCGTACAAATTACACGCAGCACCTGTCCTTCCCGGGAGCTGCTCAGTACGGCAGTGCATGCAGCACTTTGTTTGCATCTTGCTGCCGGTCGGTGGCTAAATTCTGCGGTCAGCAGCAGAATGTAAACAATGGGGAGCAATAGTCAGCCCGCTATTGGCTATTTCAAACTGCAATATCCAATAGCAGACTGGCTATGCACCCGCTCACTAAGCAGAGTAACTATGCTTACTTATTATGTCTGCAATGATATTCCCCAGAAGAGCTAGCATCTAATCAGATCAATACCGCAATGCAACTAAGGAACACAGCTTAGTCACCAACCTATCCCCCAGCCTGCTTACTGGATAATGAAGGAGTATCACCACATTAGCCATCATTAGCTGGATCCCAGTGTAAAGGTGACCATACACTGCACCATTATTGTACGTGAATCGCGGGAAATCCTGCGATCGTACGATAATCGCAGTTTGATAATCGCACGTCTTACGTCGAACAAGCAGGCTGGAAAACACGCCGGGAATCGTACGATTCTCGGCGAGTTAGTGGCCTGCTTGTTCAACAAATGCCCGCGCACACTGCCCGTTTGCAGTCATCGGAAGCTCGCCCCTCTGGGGGGCGGGCTTGCGATGATCGCAAGTATGATCTGCCTGTCCAAGATGGGCAGATCGTACGTTTTTTAAATGACTTTACAACCCTCGCAAGACAAAAGTCTTGCGAAGGTTGTAAAGTGTATGGCCACCTTTAGACTGACTGCCCTGTGCAATACAACAGACCCTGACTGGTTTCCCCGGTAGGCCATTCCTCTCCAATTCTGAGTTCAGCTGTGCAGGGGATGACAGGAAGTCAATGCAAAGAGGAATTTAGGTACTTTTACTAGTTGAATTAGAAATCTTTGAAATTCATTATTCTTTATTTTGAAAGGTATGAAATGTAGCCACCTAGAGATACACTTACACACACCTACAGGAGATGTCATCGCCTCTATTGTGCTCAAATGACAGACCAATCTGAGCAGTAAAAGCTCCGATACTTCCAGGTAGTGTCAGAGCTTACCTGCTCCTTTCCGGCCCCATACATTGTAACTGGCCAATGAATATTATGAGCTGCATCACTGGCCAATAGGAATGTGTGTGAGACAGGAGAAGTGGCGAGGAGGTAATGTCAGCATCAGGAAGGTAATGAAAGCTGCTAAAGGTATGTGCAGGAACTTCATTAGAAAAACTTTTCTTTTTTTTTTTAATTAAGTGACAGAGTCAGTATAGTGAACACATAATTGAATTAAAGAGTGGTATGTATGCCCCCACACTGACCAGCCTGTAGCTTACACTGGGTTTAGGCTGGGTTCACACTTTTGCAGCGGGTTAACACAAAGTGTATTGTTTCTATGCACTTTAACATGAGCTGTGTTAGGGTAGCCCATTCGTTTGAATAGGGCCACCAAAATGCATGCACTTTTTTTTTTAAAGTAGTGCACCACAATGCATGGTAGTACATTACCGCGTGTTGTGGTGCGTTAAAATGCAAGTTCGGCAATGAATGGCACACGCAGCACCCCCAACGTGCAATACTCACATTTCACACATTGTGCTAACACGTTCATTCTCGAAGCACAAAGGTGTGACCACAGCCTGCTTCGTGAATAGACCCCAAAGTATTTATTTCCTATGCTCCTCAGCGCCATCCAGTGGCCATAATGTGGTATTTATCTGAAATGATATTCAATCTGGAAAGAAAAACATGCTAGTAACATTGGTTTTTGCCTCCCTTCGCACAGAATGAATGTACGTGCAGTTTCGCAGGGCGAATTGGCTCTGGGAATTGTTTATAAATACACCACATAGTGTCTCGGCATCTCAGTATTTATAATTGTAATGACTACTGAAATAAATGCTGGCAATATAGTTCTTGTTATTGATGTTTGCATTTCTGACTTTTTTTTCCCTTTACAGATAATATTAAAGACTAAAACGAAACTCCATTTAAACTTTTAATAACCTGGACTGTAGTAGTAGAGTATTGCACCATGTTAGCCATTGATTAGTGTAGAAAGTTTGGAGTTTAGGTAATCTCCTTGATTGGCTAACTTAAGTTATTAAAGATCCAAGCTTTCAGGATTCAGGCTTTATTCATGTCAGAAGCAGGCTGTCGGCCGGCCAATGGCTGGCCGCTCGGCCAACTTCGGCTTTCAGCACGGCTCAGCCGAGCCGATGCATATGCGTTCGGCTTGGCCGAGCCGCTCGGCCATGATCGGGAGCTGTACGGGCTATTGTGAGTAGCCCGTACAGCACCCCTTCGGTTCTACTGGACCGAAGGGGTCCTGGGGCCAAAGCTAGCCGAAGGATCGGCCGAAGCTACGGCCAGATCCTTCGGCAGCTTCGTGAATAGACCCCTGTGTCCTTGTCACTTCCTGTGAGCTGGACTGAAATCTCTAACCTTGCTATCATCCTGCCAAGCTGTCTAAACTACAAATCCCCTGCCACCATGTAATGGAGAAAAAGACAGGAGCAGGGCTGTCCCTACACTATTTGCCGCCTAAGGTTGCTGCTGGTGCATTGTCGTTCTATGGGGGGTATGGTTATTCTGAGGGGGAGGTTGTTCTGCCACTGCCCGGCATCCCACCCAGCTCGCGTATGTCACCGGTTGCCAGGAGCTGGGCAGGACAACAGCCAGAGTGTCCTGCTCAGCTCAGGGCAACCAGTGATGTCAGTGAGCAGGGTGGGAATCCGGACAGAGCATCACAGGTTGCTAAGAGCTCTTAGCAACCTGGAACGCTGCGGCCACCCCACTGTCGCCCTCCCATGAAATGCCGTGTGAGGCAACCACCTCAGGCTACCTCATTATTGGGATGGTGCTGGACAGCAGGATGTGTTTTTATTCCAAATGAGTGGAGCAGCCTAGCTTGGGTTGCCAATGGTGCCCATAGGCGTCTCTACAGGGGGGCCAGGGGGGCTGATTTCACTTTAAAACGGCCGCTTGGCCAGCTTCGGCTTTCAGCGCGGCTCAGCCGAGCCTATGCATATGCGTTTGGCTTGGCCGAGCCGCTCGGCCATGATCAGAAGCTGTACGGGCTACTGTGAATAGCCCGTACAGCACCCCTTCGGTTCAGTAGAAGCTACGGCCAGATCCTTCGGCAGCTTCGTGAATAGACCCCATAGTTCAGTACATGGCTGAAAAACAAAGCACTCCAACCAAGGTTCATACAAATACATTGGGACAATCAGGACATGTTTCAGCCCCCGTCCAGATCTAATGGGCGATGTATAAATTCAGATATATTTTTCCAATGTGAAATCCAACAAAAATATTTTGTAACAAATTGGCCAATGAGGGACAGGAGTTCAGCCAGCTGGAGGTCTCACATAAATGTCTCCTCAAACTTGAATACAAATCCTAAAACGGTATAAAAATATATATGTGTATATCACAATTTCCAGGCGGTCTTCATCATCAGTACAAAGTAGACGTCGCTGTCGATTGAGGCGCTGACTCCAGAATAATAGTTCAGGAATTCATCTTTTGTAACCTGGAACAAGAAGTGCAGAACAGAAAATGAGACTCAGCGATGAGGAAGAGGGGGCTCTCCTGAGGGGACTATGGCAATATTTTCACACAGGTTCATTATTGATCTCCTTTATCTAAAACTGTACTACGTGTGATATGGAGGCCACTGCTAACCTCCTTCTGAAAATATTGTTATTGTATGATTATATATTTATTGTATGTTATCTTATTACTGTATTGTGCGATATATCATTATTGTGTTATCTTATTACTGTATTGTGCGATATATCATTATTGTGTTATCTTATTACTGTATTGTGCGATATATCATTATTGTGTTATCTTATTACTGTATTGTGTGATATATCATTATTGTATGTTATCTTATTACTGTATTGTGTAATATATCATTATTGTGTTATCTTATTACTGTATTGTGTGATATATCATTATTGTATGTTATCTTATTACTGTATTGTGTAATATATCATTATTGTATGTTATCTTATTACTGTATTGTGTGATATATCATTATTGTATGTTATCTTATTACTATATTGTGCGATATATCATTATTGTGTTATCTTATTACTGTATTGTGCGATATATCATTATTGTATGTTATCTTATTACTGTATTGTGCGATATATCATTATTGTATGTTATCTTATTACTATATTGTGCGATATATCATTATTGTATGTTATCTTATTACTGTATTGTGCGATATATCATTATTGTGTTATCTTATTACTGTATTGTGCGATATATCATTATTGTGTTATCTTATTACTGTATTGTGTGATATATCATTATTGTATGTTATCTTATTACTGTATTGTGCGATATATCATTATTGTATGTTATCTTATTACTGTATTGTGTGATATATCATTATTGTATGTTATCTTATTACTGTATTGTGTAATATATCATTATTGTGTTATCTTATTACTGTATTGTGTGATATATCATTATTGTATGTTATCTTATTACTATATTGTGCGATATATCATTATTGTATGTTATCTTATTACTATATTGTGTGATATATCATTATTGTATGTTATCTTATTACTGTATTGTGCGACATATCATTATTGTATGTTATCTTATTACTGTATTGTGTGATATATCATTATTGTATGTTATCTTATTACTGTATTGTGTGATATATCATTATTGTATGTTATCTTATTACTGTATTGTGTGATATATCATTATTGTACATTGTTACTCTGATGTTTATTATTATTGTATGTTATATAATACAGTATTATTGTATGTTGTATTATTATTAGGCATGCACCGATACCGATACTGGCATCCTTATCAATACCAAGTATTTGGGTGAGTACTCGTACTCTCCCAAATGCTCCGATACCTTCCCTGATACTGGAACTTCCAGTCATAGGAAGATTTCCTGTAGTCCCATAGGGCAACATGGAGCCAGCTTCCCGTGCAATCAGGAAGCAAGTAATCATCCACCTCCCAGCTTCCTGATTGGCCACGGAGCCGGCTCCATGCTGACTGGCCGGGAACCTGGCTTCCCGGCCAATCAGCATTGAGCTGGCCGAATAGGCGGCTCGATGCTCATTGGCTGGGAAGCCACCTTTCCTGCCAATCAGCATTGAGCCGGCCGAACAGCCGGCTTCCTGGCAAATCAGCAAGGAGCTGGCTGTTCGAACAGCCGGCTTCATGCTGATTGGCTGAGAAGCCAGCTTTTCAGCTAGGATGCGGGTCATAACTCGCCGCCCTGCTTCCTGATTGGCAGGGAAGCTGGCTCGATGTTGATTGGCTGGGAAGACGGTTTGCCGGCCAAGCACAATCAAGCCAGCCAAACAACATGGAGCCGGCTTCTCGGGCAATCAGATTGCCTGGGAAGCCGGCTCCATGCCAGCGGAAGCACTGGTATCGGTACTCGATATCGGTGAGTACCAAAAGCAAAATATCGCTACTCGATACCGAAAGAACGGTATCGGTGCATCCCTAATTATTATTGTATGATATATCATATCATCATTGTAAATTATCATATGTAATATTATTATTTTATGTTATAATATTATGGTATGTTGTAATATATCCAATGCTTTTACAGTATATACTATCTATGTTACTCCTGAAGAAGCAGCAATGTTGGCTCTGAAACAAGTTGAGATTTTAAATGTTTCTTTTCCTATTGAATTTGAATTTTTTATCAAATTGTTCTAAGCTGGATTGAGTTCCTCCAGTAGTTTTATTTCTCCAGAAACACATTTTTGTGTTTATTCACCCGGCATTTTAACCAGGGGAACTATCCATAGTTGCTGCACGTAGAAGTTCCAGTTAAACAGTTATTCAATGCCAATTGATTGAAGATGATCAAGGCAGTGACACTTGCCAAACGCAACCAATGCACTCAATGGGACCGCACTGTAACCACGTACCAACTAATTGGAACGCAGTCACGGGGGGGTGTTGCAACGCAAAATCCCTATTGAGATTTTAAAAAAATAAGAAAAAACACGCATTCAGGAGTAAACCCGCGGTCAACGGCCCTCTAAAAAGAGATTCACCGTGAATAAAAAGGGTATAAAATTAATTTCAGTACAGCGCTGCATGACGGAATAAATGTCAGTCAAAGTACCGCAGCGCTGAATACTGAAAAATGGCCTGGATGGGAAGGGGGTTTAACACCGCGGATGTCAACTGGTTAAAGAGGGCGCTGCATGTGTAAACGAGGCCTTAGAGGCTCATTGTCTCCTCTATTTTTTTTCATTGATTACAATCACTTGCAGGACTGATCTGGGGGCTGCCCAGGAGGAGTATCCTCAATGATCTAATTCCCAGCATTGGATTCCTCTGCTTCCCCTTATTTGCAGAGCAAAAAAAAAAAAAGATCAGTGAGACGTACTGAGTTGGAAAAGCAATCATTATTGTTATAATTAATTTGGCAGCGTAACAATGTAGCAACCAAGTGTTTCAGGGTAACACGTGGACTCAACACATTGTACAGACACTGTTTCTAATGAGACTGCTGCAATAAACATTTGGACTTTTGATAACATATCTACGGTGTGCTAGCAACATATTTTCTTATGCTCACATGAGCCAACCTGCTGGTAGTTGCCCCAATACCCTCTTACACGTGGCGCTCTCCAGGAACGTGTGCGATGGGAATATATTAGGCTCCATGCACAAAGCTAAGACACCAGGATAAGGAGATTAGTTTTTTAAAGTGGCAGTTATAGTCCAATGAGATTTGACAATACCAGTCACAAGACTACAATAAAGGTTCTTATCTGGCTTTGTGATTTGAGCTTATTGAACCTATCAATTGCATTTAGTGGCCAATATAAATTCAAGGAGGACCCTGTCGCGGTGGGCTGCTCTCTTTGTATGCACGTCAATCTTTTATTCTCAGTTTTGACTTTTGAGGGTTTATACAATTCTAACCTTCTAAGCTACAACAAAACATTTTGGTAAGGTCAGTGTTACACGGAAAGTTTAATGATTAATACCGCATATTAACCTGAAATTAAAAGTGATCATTAAAACCAAAACCCAATTATCCACGACTAATATGCTTAGTGGTTAGTGGCCGTGTCACATTAGCATGCACACACTGAGGGGTGGTGTCAGTCATGTGTTAGTAACAGAACATGGCATGTTATTGAGGCCATACACTTAGAGTCGCCAGGCGTTCTTCATCATGGTGATAAAGTATACATCGGTATCGATTGACGCGCTAACTCCGGCATAGTAGTTTGTGAATTCGTCCGGAGTCACCTGTCATGGTCACAAGACAACAAATGTGAAGAAACCTTTTCTTGGCCCTTTCTGGAAGCAATAATCCCCTATGGGAAGGAACAGCTTGGGAAGAATGAATGGGTGAAATGACAGTTTGTTACAGTGAAATATTAGTGTAGCTATGACAATATGAATGAAGAGTTTTATGTTTAGAATTAGTTCTGTGCTGATGGCATCCTGTCAACTCAGAAAGTCCAGTCACTTTATCTCATTATAAACATTATATTAGTTTCTGCAGCCAGAAGGAGCAGGGCTTTCAGGGTGCCTAGAAATGGGGCACCCAGTAATGCTGTACAGCCAGGACCATCCCTATAAAGAGGCAGCCTGGGGCCACATGGAGGGGCAGCAGGCAGAGCAGCATGGCATGCCCCCACCGCCCCCCTTTCGACCAGAGCACCCCACGTGGCAAAGAGCTGGATGGGGAGATGTGTAAGGGCCATATATATCTCCTCCCGTCCAGCTGTTAGCAACCTCGAGTGCTCTTGCTGGCGTCCCCCCATACGCCTGGCAACCAGTGACAACATTGGTGGCTAGGAGCTTGGTGGGGCACCAACCAGCGCTTACCCCCAAGTTCCTGGCAAACAGCAACGCCCCCCCCCAGCGCTTCAGGTGGCAAGAAGCCTAGGGCCACCCCTGTGTACAGCCCAAATCTCTGGGTGACTGCAGAGGGGTATATAAGGAGCTACAGACAAAAACACATTTTTAGTAGAAGGCAGAATCAGAACTTCTGAAGATCTTTTCTTTGATGTCTGTGTCTCTCTGTCCCAGTGACCTCCACACCTCCCATTTCTTCTACAAGTGTCACAGAAACAGGAAGTGAATGAAAATCCCCCTCCCCCCGCCCCCCGTGAAAAGCATGTCCTAGTGATATGTGCTTTGATTGCAGGCAAAGCAGGTCATAGCCAGGCTACTAACAACCATAAGATGTTGCTGTGCAGAAATTTGGGAGTTTAAGGTCCAATTCACACCAGCCGCTATGCTAAACGCATCTCCGATGCATCGGTACTGTGTACCTTTCTTTTTTAAAGAGCTTTATTTCATTCAGTGCTACGGGCACAGCAGGGGACGAGGTGGTTGCATCCTGACCTGCGAATGTACAGCATGTCATACTTTTTTTCAGCGCACACGACAGAGTTCCCATCGTAACGTGGTGGTGTGAACTGAGCACGCCTGTCCTTCCTGGAAGCTGCCCGTTACGGCCGAGCACGCAGCACAGAGCTGTACGTGCCGGCCTTTTCTAGTGTGAATGAGGGCTAAGTATGACAGCACAATGAGGCTGATTTATAAAAAGGGAGAAAGAAAGAAAGTAACTGCACTGCAGCTCTCATTCGCAAAACCGATAGCTAAAATCTGATTGGATGGTACAGGCATTACAGTCATTTCACAGGACAGAATGAACTTGTGTTATTTCTAGGGATAGTCGATCCTCATATGAGTACATTTCAAATATTAACAGCTGATAGAAACAGAAGAGACAAAAATCGAGAGGGGGTCAACTAACTCACCAACTGTCACTTGCCCTAAAACGGGATACACAACTCTGAATTAAAAAAAACATGCAGGGGGGGCATTCATCAAAACTGGAGCAGACAGAATTTGGAGCAGTTGCCCATGGCAACCAATCAGTTTTTCCCTTCAGAGAGAAGCTGATTGGTTGCCATGGGCAACTGCTCCGGATTTGTTCTGCTCCAGTTTTGATAAATGCCCCTCACAGTATATATCACCAATGCGTAATCTCGATGACAGACAGACGGACAGACAGACAGACAGACAGGTAGGTAGATAGATAGATAGATAGATAGATAGATAGATAGATAGATAGATAGATAGATAGATAGATAGATAGATACTGTCTGGCCCAAAAAATAAAAGTTACACACTCTAATTTTTGATTGGACCGCCTTTAGCTATGATTACGGCACACATTCTCCATGGCATCGTGTCGATAAGCTTATGCAATGTCACAACATTTATTTCCTTCCAGAGTTGTATTCATTTTTCTCCGAGATCTTGTAGTGATGATGGGAGAGTCAGACCTCTGTGTAAAGTCTTCTCCAGCACATCCCAAAGATTCTCAATGGGGTTAAGGTCTGGACTCTGTGGTGTCCAATCCATGTGTGACAATGATGTCTCATGCTCCCTGAACCACTCTTTCACAATTTGAGCCCGATGTACCCCTGCATTGTCATCTTGGAATATGCCCAATGTGCCATCAGGGAAGAGAAGATCCATTGATGGAAAAACCTGATCATTCAGTTTATTCAGGTAGGCATTTTGGCATTGTTAGCATTGCTGAACCAACTGAAGCAACCTCAGATCATAACACTGCCTCCACAGGCTTGGACGGTAGGCACTAGGTATGATGGGCGCATCACTTCATCCACCTCTCTTCTTACCCTGAAGCGCCCATCACGTTGGAACAGGGTAAATCTGGACCCATCAGACCACATAATCATTTTACATTGTTTCAGATCTAATCTTTATGCTCTGCAGCAAATGGAAGCCTTTTTTATAAATTAACCTCACTGAATAGTAGTTTTCTTAAGGCTACACAACTGTGTCAATTAAGAAACATGGAGCCGCTCTTCCCTCTTGTCTCCAATCCTGCTGTTCGAACCTCGGTGCCTGTTAAAGCTTTCGCCAGAGCCTTCACTAAGCAATGGGTAAAAACCGTCACCCGTAAGGGGATCCGTCCTTCCAATACTTTACTTGCAAAAAGGCGGCCAACAAACAAATGCTCCCAAACTGAAACATGTCAGCATTTGTTTGTTGGCCGCTTTAGTCCCAATCTCTTCACTTCTCTTTGCATTGTGTATGTGGAAATGCTTTTACTGTCACTACTAAACAAAACTATGAGTTCTACTTTTGATTTTTTACGATTTGTTTCCACCAAACGTTTCAGTGATCTCCGATCATTCCAGATTTTTTTCTGACCACATTTCTTCCTCGCAGATGATGGTTCACCCCTATCCTTCCAGGTTTTATTCATGCGTGGGACAGTTCTTAACCCTATTTTAGTAGTTTCACCAATCTCTTTAGTTGTTTTCTTTTCTTGATGCCGGCCAATAATGTGACCCTTCTGAAACAGAGTTACATCTTTCCATGACCGCAGGATATGTCTTCTGACACGGTTGTTTAAGAAATGAGAAGCTACCGTACTCACTGCATCAGTTAGGGAGAAATAACTTGTAGCCAACTGAAACATATTAATCACTGCAGTAATCATCAAGGCTAAATCCAGGTCGTGACCTTTTTTTTGGCCAGGCAGTGTAGACAGGTACGATAGATAGATAGATAGATAGATAGATAGATAGATAGATAGATAGATAGATAGATAGATAGATAGATAGATAGATTGACATCGATATACAGTATATATATATATTGATACTGTAGATAAAAAAATATATATATAGAGAGAAAGAGAAAGAGAGAGAGAGAGATATAGATAGATAGATAGATAGATAGATAGATAGATAGATAGATAGATAGATAGATAGATTGACATCGATATACAGTATATATATATATTGATACTGTAGATAAAAAAATATATATATAGAGAGAAAGAGAAAGAGAGAGAGAGAGATGCAGATATATAGATAGATAGATAGATAGATAGATAGATAGATAGATAGATAGATAGATAGATAGATAGATAGATAGATACAGAGGCGTAACTATAACCTTCAGGGCCCCGGTGCAAGAAACCAACCGCCATGGCACCGCATGGTTAACAGGAAGGCGGCCGAGGTCCCTAGCAAGCGCGGATCCTCAGGCAGCCGATTGTTTGTTTTAGTGCCGGTGTTCTGTCGAGAACGCCGTCCCAGTATATGCGCTTATGTACAGACAGGATTACGGAGGAAACCGGCATTTATTTACAAAGTATTTGTTTGTAATGCTTAATTGTGACCGTTAATAATATACCATCCATGGCAGTAAATGATGGATGGAATATTATTAACAGTCACAATTAACGATTTAAACGAAATACTTTGTCAATAAATCCCAGTTTCCTCAATAATACTGGTCTGTGCGCAAGCGTAGATGCTGAGGTTGGCAAATTCGACGACGTTGGGGTTATCAACAGAACACTGGTATCTGAGTCTAGTATCGGGGCATTTTCACGAGTATGAGTACTCGTGAAAATGCCCAGTATTGGCATTGGTGTATCCCTACTTAAAAATAAATTGCATTGCTGGGACTTGTAGTCCTATATAGTTGGTGCTATTCTGCATTGCTGTATAATCATTATACACCAATGCAGAATACCACCAGCTATGCGGGACAACAAGTTCCAGCAATACATTATAATAAAAGTCAGCATTACACAATATCACCAGCATCCCCCCACACTTCCCCGCGCACCCCCCTCCCCCTCCAGACTTACCTTTCCTCTCCTGCAGGGTCCTCTTCCTCGTCTCGGTGGACAGGGGGTGGGGCTAAGAGGAGAGGGTCCTCACACAGCAGAATGTGCTGCCCGGTGGTGCCTGCAGCACATTCTGCGGGACTGATGACAGCTTCTTCATCCCCACCGCGTAGCCACCCGTACATGCTGCAGGTGGCTGTGCGGCAGGGAAGGAGCGACACAATCTCGGGGGGGCCTCTTCTTCCTCGCTGGGCCCCCCCAAGTGGCGGAACACCAGGGCCCGGTCACAATTGCAACCGCTGCGACCCTGGTAGTTCCGCCAGTGGATAGATAGATAGGAGCGACACAATCTCGATGGGGCCTCTTCTTCCTCGCTGGGCCTCCCAAGTGGCGGAACACCAGGGCCCGGTCACAATTGCGACCCTGGTAGTTCCGCCAGTGGATAGATAGATAGAATAGATAATAGATAGATAGAATAGATGTACAGTAGATAGATAGATAGATAGATAGATAGATAGATAGATAGATAGATAGATAGATAGATAGATAGATCGGTAGAAGATAGATAGATCGGTAGAAGATAGATTGATAGATAGATAGATAGATAGATAGATAGATAGATAGATAGATAGATCGGTAGAAGATAGATTGATAGATAGATAGATAGATAGATAGATCGGTAGAAGATAGAAAGATAGATAGATAGATAGATAGATAGATAGATAGATAGATAGATAGATAGATATTCTATTTAGAAACATTTCTTACCTGTCCATCTTTATCGTACGGAGAATCAAAATTATCTAGAAAGCTCCTGAAGACCTGATCTTCTGTCCACTCCCCGTTCTGGTACTTTGGATGGTATTTTGCGTTATACACTCCGCGTAAATCCTCAATCGTTACAACGCCATCTCCGCTTTTGTCGAGCTTCCTAAACGCCTGCAAGATGATCTCTTTCCTGGCATTGGACATCGGCGGCTGGAAGGAAAATAAGCAGAGAAGGTCTCTTAGTATCTGCCATTAATAGGCAATGGTAAAATGTATCTATTAGGTATTGCTCCAAAGAATAAAAGAATCTAGTGGTCATCCATTCATTGTTGATTGGCAATTCTGCATAAAGGATGAGCATGCTTTTACATCAGTCCAACCCAGATGTCCCCCACCACAGATGTCATCTTCATCCCAGCACATACCCATAACTGTCTTATAGGATTCAGAGAAATCCCACCGATCCAATTCTCCCGCTGCATCCCCAGCACAGAGATCCCACAGGGGCAGGCAGAAAAAGTGCGTGTTCACCTTCAATCAGTTCAGCTTGTTCTATCAAAGATTGTTACTGTGTTGGAATGTGTGACCGGTCACGTGGTGACACATTTTAACGTAATCACGCCCACTTTTTCAGCGGTGGAATGAGTGACCGGAAAAAGGTGAAGAATACTAACGTTTTCTCAGCTGTTCCAGGGCAGAACGGCATCGCAGATGGTATGTGCAGGAGAACCGATCTGCCCTGAACAGATGATCGGTCCTGAAATGTGACTTTGTGACTGCGATCTCACATTCCACAAAGTCAAATAGAAGTGACATTTCCGCCAAAAAACTGGGCGGGATTACGTTAAAAATGTGTGACCACGTGACCGGTCACACATTCTAATGCAGTCACAAACTTTGATAGAACACAGCTCAAAAGATAGCCGCACACCACCAGATCTTCAAATAATAAATCCAATATTTATTTGTGATCCAAAAGTGCATACCACTGACATGCTCCCCGATATAACAAGCATCCCCTTAGGCCTTTCACCGATTCGGCGGTGAAAAGCGTAAGAGGACTCTTGTTGTATTGGGGAGCATGTCTGTGGTATGCACTTTTGGATTACAAATAAATATTGGATATATAGTTTGAAGATCCGGTGGTGTGCGGCTATCTTTTGAGCTGAACTGTCTCATGGGATTGTCACACAAGCAGTACCCAGGCTGTGGTTGTGCTGGGAAGGCCATACAGCTAAAAAACAATATCAGCACGGAGAAGACTTATGGTGTTCTATCACCATTACTGCAGAGACGGGGTCTGAGCTAGGTTGGTGTGAAGTGAAATTATCTGTGAATGACTATTGTAATACGTTGAATTAGCCTTATAGAGGACCTGTTCCTTTAATCAGTCAGACCTGACCCCTGCACTGGCTATAAATATTCCAATCCCATCCACAATTCTACCACCAATTACAATGCTTTGGTGAAGATCAGATTGCTTAAAGGGTAAGTGCACTTTGAAACAAAGTCCTAATTGCACCATTTCCATACACTGTGTGAACCTAGCCCCCTCCCCAGATCAATACTTACCTCGCAATTGTGCAAGCAGCATAGAACTTTATGGGAAGACCCTGTGCAAGTAAGGCTGGTACAAGAAGGGTCCATATCAAGGATTGAACAAAGCCTTGAGGTTGTAGGGATGATTGCAATCTAAATATGTATCTGGGGAGGTCAAGAAGGATAAGTGCACTTTGTTTGAAAGTGCATTTATCCTTTAAATAGAACTGCAGACAAAAGTGTTCTTAACCCTAGCAGTCGGGCTACCCCTGCACTGCAAGGGTTAACTGCTCGTTTTTGTCTGTGCTCACCCGAACCGAACCGCTGAGCACACTGCCTGCTTCTCCGGTCACTGAAACCTCTCTTCTCCTATGCAGCAGCGTTGAAATGTTCCTCAATGTCCTTACGGCTATACACAGTAAGGATCTACCGATAATCGGGGTCAATATTCCCGCTTTTTAAAATTATCTGTATTGGTCAAATGTGCCGATATTACCGATAATAAACACTGTGCGCATTTCACACAGCGACATTTATGGCCGGTATCCCTCGATCAGCTGATAGAAGGAGCCAGTCAGTAATTCTATGTAGGAACAGAGCTGGCATTCTTGGAGTGGCCACTGTCAGAATACCAAAAAAAAAGCAGGAGAAGCAATAGTCAGCCTGCTATTGGCTATTTCAAATTGCAATAACCAATAGCAGGCTCGCTATTAAACTCACCCACTGCCTGCTGTCAATCAGCAGAAGTGTGGACCTGAAGGAGAACTTTCTCCTTCAATTCTTCCTCTGCTGATTGACAGCAGGCAGTGGGATGGGTACCCAGCCTGCTATTGGCTATTGTAATTTGAAATAGCCAATAGCAGACTGGCTGTTGCTCCCAGCCACTGCAGATCGAACAGCAGAGGAGCGGACCTGAGGGAGAACTTTCTCCTTCAGTTCTGCTCCTCTTCTGATTGACAGCAGGCAGTGGACGAGTGTAACAGCCAGCCTGCTATTGGCTATTGCAATTTAAAATAGCCAATAGCAGGCTGGCTGTTGCACTCCCCACTGCTTGCTATTTACATTCAGCCGTCAGCTGCGGAATCCTGCCGCCAGCAGATGAATGGGGCAGGGGGTTGGCCGATATCAGACGACTGCCTGCTGTTTACATACGCTGCTGGCTCAGCTGGATGTGAACAGAATATATGTACCTGATACCAGTTATCGGCCTGAAAGGTGTCCAAAAATCGGTGTCGGTTCTGAAAAATCTATATCAGTCGACCCCCCAATACACAGTGTACAGAGAATGTGATGATTTACAGGACCTTAGACCGTTGCAGTGGAGGGGAAGTGAGGCTGGAAGGATCGGTCTCTGAGGATCAGGACGGCATAACTTTTTTTTTTACCTAGACAAAAATGAGCAGTTAACCCTTGCAGTACTGCCCAGGGTTCTGCTTTTAGGCTTTCTTACAGGTTAATAATGAGTATTTCTGACATTGAAAAGTGCTTTTGGTGACTCATATTGATTCCAACTTATTGTGTAATGTGTGTGACCTGCCAACCCTGTGCTCTAGAGAAGAGGGAAGGATGTGGCAGACGGGGTTTGTGTTTTGTCATACCCATCAGAATCCACCAGACCCTTGAAGGATAGGTGGGGCATAGGCCCACCTATGGCCACCAATGAACTTGTACTGAGAGGGAAAAGTTCTGTGCACCACAGCTTGGCAGACAAAAGAGCATGGATATGTAATGAGAAAATATGGTCAGACCCGTGTAGATAGGAGGTTACAAATTATACAAAGGAGTAAGGTTGTAAAAATATTACTTTAGGTCTAATGTGACTCAGGAACAGGGACAACTTCCTCATTGGCTCTTTGTTTCACCTTGGCTTTAGTCTCTCCATTAACTGCTAAATAGGCCCGAATGTGAGCCAGTGGAAATGCTGATACGTGCGTTCTCTGGTTCCAAGCACCAACTACATCTGAGCGCTCTGCAGTTTTCACGGTTCCAATTGTAAGACTTCCCTGCAGCAAATCCCAACACTGCACATGTCATCGTGAAGGGCCAGTACACACCAGCCACAGTGCGTTCCGGCCTGAATCTGGCTGGAACGCACTGGATCGCATTCCGGCTGGCTCACTTTGTTTTGGGACGGGACTGGGCGTGGCGGCGCAGTGAACTCAATGGCACCGTAGCCACACACTGCGGCCGCAATGCGATCGGCCGCACGGGAACGCAAGGCACATCAATACCTGTCGTCTGGTCTGGTCAAAAAAAAAGCTGCAAGCACTATTTTTCTGACCAGACCAGACCAGAACGCAGGCATTGCATTGCGGCGCCATTCACTTCAATGCACTGCCACGCCCCCTCCCACCCCACAACAAAGTGAGCCGGACGGAATGCGATCCAGTGCGTTCTGGCCCCAATCGGGCCGGAACGCACTGTGGCTGGTGTGAACTAGCCCGAAGTCTCACTCCTCTGTACCCTTACTCCATATTATAAAGATATAAAAACAGAAGACATGCCACCTTTTAATGTTCCCAATATGGAAGCAAAGTTGGGGACCCAAGAGCAGGGATCTCCACACTGCATTCACCATGACATGGAAGATGGCAATTAAAGACGGCAATAAACGACTAAGCTTGCTAATGTCTAATGAAAAGCTGAAATATCACTTTTAGGTAGCGTGACCCTTTAAATAACGCAAAACGTGGTCATAAGAGACTCACCCTTAACGTGACGAGGAATTCATCAAAGTCTATCGATCCGCTACCGTCTCTGTCAAATTTGCCGTAAAGCTGTTGAGCTTCCTCTTTGTCTATCATCACTCCATAGTCATTCAGGCCCTTCAGAAACTCTTTGAAATCCAGACACCTGCTGTTATCATCATCCATGATCTTAAATACCCTACAGAAAAAAGTGAAAGTGAAAAGGAGAAATGTTTTCGATATGGCACATCAAAATGCCCCAGGGCTGCACATATAGCCCCTGCAGCATGTACAGCTAGTAAAGGGCCCAAGACAAGAAGTGGGCCTACAGGGACAAGGCATGGGGGAACTTCCAGTGGAGGAAGGTAATCGGTTCTGTTGGTTAATGTGACCATACACGGAACAAATTTCAGCTGTTTCCTGCTGAAGTGGCCGAGATTCAATCTGTGGGTGACCCTGCCAAGTTTTCTATTGACTTTTGTTGACGAAGCCCGGTGGAAAATTGTCAGCCAACAGGGACTTCATCCAATTAGGTACAGCCAATGTTGGGGTATTCGGACAACCACAGGCACTAGCTGCCAAAATACCCAAACTCTTCAGAAACTAGAATGTCGATTTCCAAGGGCCCCCAGCACTTAGTGGTTCCTCCCGCTACAAGATGTAGTGCGGCTGTAAGGGTGGGCAGACTGAGCACAGCAGATAACCAGCAGTCTGACACTCCAGGAAGTGTCAGTTGCTGAAGAGCCCATTCACACTAGGGCGGTTGTGGATCAGTGCTGTTACCGCGCTGATATTGCAAGGGAGGGTTTGGGAGTTTTTAATTGCGCTTCAGAGCTGAAACGCAATTAAAAACGCCCAAAACCACACTAATCAGCGCGGTTCCATTGAAACCTGTATGGAAACCGCACTGATCGCACGGTCGCATGAACGGCCCCCATAGCATGTATGGGATCATTCATGTCGGCGGATCCATGCGGACGAACTGCCCTGGAGTCTAAAGCTGGCCATACACCTTACAATTATCTGCAGATTTTCTCTGGCCAGATGGAAAAAGTACAACAGATTCCTCCATCTACTCTAAGCTGTGTGGATGGAGGAATCTCCCACTGGGCCAAGCTTCAGTATCGCTGGCTCTCAAAACACCCAAACAATGCCGGCATCCAATCAGATTGTTCAGGTGTTTTGGAAGCCAGCAGGGCCGACTACCAAGATACTGAAGCTTGGCTCAGGTGGAGATTACTCCATCCACACAGTTAAGTGTAGATGGAGGAATCTGTTCCACCTTTTCCATCTGACCATAGAAAATCTGCAGATAATTTTAAGGTGTATGGGCACCTTAAGAGTCATCAATCAGCATTTCTTTTTACTTGCATTGCAGACTTGCTGGGAACGAGGCAGGAGAGGTAAATAAGTGTGGGAAGGGACACCAAAATCTACCAGGTGGAACACAACATTTTTTTGAAGATGAAGCAGAGGTAGACTCTGACATTTTCAAACCCACCAGGTTCCACGTATGACCGACTATCGCTTTTTCCCGGACTGTTCCTTTAAATATTATCTCCTGTATGGCCAACACCAGAGACCCTCAACGTTGAGGACAAGAGATCATGACATTTAAAATTTACAGAATAAGTAAAATACAAAAGGTTTTTAAAAACACTACTGACAGGAGCTACATCAAAGACATCTGGGAGCCCTATGAGGTCCAGCGGTTAATTCCTGGGGACCCCTGAACTCTAGTATAGTGTCAGTGATCAGCTCACCTTCCTAAGCCCTTGATCCCAGCGGAGCCCCTGGACAGACACTGTAATCTCAGTTTTTCCAACGGATCTGCGCAAGTAGTCAGGTTCTTCTTGGCCTGCATGGCCATCTCTCGATCATGTCTGGCTGTACCTGCCATCTGTGAGATATGGGAGAAACAAAGAGGTCAAGGCCTAAAGACATCGGTAATGAGCACAATATGACACCATTAAAAAAAAAAATCAGTTGAAGCGGGATCTCATCTTTTTAGGTCTGCTTTAAAGTGTATGTAGAGCCAGAACTTTTTATAGCTTTGGATAGAGTAGGGAGAGGTTATAATCCCTGCCACAGGAGGTTAGTAGAAATCTCCCAAGGTAAGTTCCCTCTTTGACAGTTGTCCCAGGAAAATTCCCCTTCATCTCTTGTTTTTGGAACAACTCCAAAAGTTTGGATTTGTTGTACTCCCCCTAGAGGAGTACAACAAATCCCAGCAATAGTACATTATACAGCGCAATGCAGACTACCGCCAGCTATAGAGGACTACAAAACCCAGCAATAGTACATTAAACAGCACAATGCAGAATACCGCCAGCTATAATGTACTATTGCTGGGATTTGTAGTCCTCTATAGCTGGCGGTAGTCTGCATTGCGCTGTATAATGTACTATTGCTGGGATTTGTAGTCCTCTATAGCCGGTGCCATTCTGCATTCATTGCTGTATAATTTTACACTTTCCATTTCACTATATTGCACACCACACTTTTTTTTTCTTTTATACTTCCTTTTATACTTCCAAGCTTGCTCCCGTGATGGACTACAATCTCAATACAAACTAGTAGTCCATCACTGGAGCCATTTTTTAAAATGTATTTTATTTTTTATCCGATTAATCGAACTTAATAATCATCTAACTAATCGATTTTGAAAATAATCGTTAGCTGCAGCTCTATGCACCATATAATGCATATAACATCTGATACGCTCATTTTCAAATTATTGTCCTTTTCAAACATCTTATTTCCATGTATATACTCATTAAAGGAGAACTATGAGGTGAGTGCTTTTTACTCACCTCATAGTTCTAGCCGACCTGTGACAATGAGACTGTCACAGGTCGGCTCAGTAGATCGGGAGGTGAGCGAACACATTTGGATTCCCCCCTCTCCCCGCTCCGATCCACCAGCGCTGACTGACAGAACGGACAGGGGAGGAGGCGGGTACAGCTGGCTCTGCCTCTAGATAGGCAGAGCCAGCTGTACCCGCCTCCTCCCCTGTCCGTTCTGTCAGTCAGCGCTGGTGGATCGGAGCGGGGAGAGGGGGGAATCCAAATGTGTTCGCTCACCTCCCGATCTACTGAGCCGACCTGTGACAGTCTCATCGTCACAGGTCGGCTAGAACTATGAGGTGAGTAAAAAGCACTCCCCTCATAGTTCTCCTTTAACCCTTTTGCTGCCATCGCCATATGCAATATGATGGCTGCAGCAGGGCCATGTAAGCAGAGTCCTGGTTGCTATAGTTTGCATACATGTGTAAAGCTGCCTGATCACTTCCAGGAACCACTGAAGGTGCTGCCCCCCTGCTGGACAACCCCTGCCAAGTATCAACATTGCGGGTGTTGTCAGGGGGGGGCGGAGGACAATCAGCCAACATTCGTTAGCTGATCAGCCCTGTGCTTTATGAACCTGGAAGCAATTTGCATTTTGACACTTCCGGTTTCAGAGCCATCATTCCCAAGCTGCTGTGGCTGGGGATAAAGCTGATCTGTGCTTGATCAACTTAATTACAGTACAAAAGTGACTTTAGAGGTCTAATAGAATTTAGTTACAAAATAAAGTCAAATAAAATAGATTAAAAAATTTTTTATAAAGTCCCCACACCCACATACACACACACTTACAAATGCAAACACGCTTTGGGTGCGGCTACATCCAGAAATGATGATTGCGCCACACATGTTTGGTGAACACACAAGTTAGAGCAATAATTCCAGGACCAATATCCTCTGTTAACTCTAAACTGATGGCCTGTAAAAGCTTTCAAACTTTGCCTATGGACTATTCTTGGCACCGCATTGTTTTGCCATTTCACAAGAACACGTCATTTTGACATGTTTGGGATCTATTTATTTGGCGGAACCTCATCTTTTATATCGTACCAACAATAGGGTATTATGTTGTGTTTATGTGCAAAAAAATGTAAAGGTATTTTTAAGAATAGTTCGGGTTTGATAAACAGTTGTGCTAATATCGCGTGACAAAACAAATTTTATATACCACCATTTCATTCTTTGTTTTCAGAAAATATATTGGGGGGGGGGGGGGTAGTTTAAATAATCATCAGGCCTAAACTGTGCATTTTAACATGTGTGCAAAAAATGCAAACTTTTTTGACATTAGAGACTCTGTTAGTCTTCCTGTCTGTCAGCGTATTTTTTTCTACGTGTACACTCGGCCGCGCATGAGCAGCTCAGTGTACAGCCTCAGGGTGATTCTGTGCCAGGATGAAGTAACTCCCATGTGGATGTATGGGAGATACATTAGCCCGGCCTGGCCAATCAAGATGGCAGAAGACTCTGAACCCAGAAGAAGACTGGGTAAAGATAGAATGGCTGGCCATGGAGGAGGGGAGCGTTGACATCACAGCGCTAGATTTCTTTGCTTGGTAAGCATGGCCATATTGTGCAAATATGCTTTCGTCCTTCCACATTCTGCCAAACACCTCTTGGGGGCCCAGAATTTAGAATTTTCTGTGGCAGGTTGACTTCTGATTAAACACGCCTCTCTCCTGGTATGGACCGATAAAACCCACAGACTCAACTCTGAGAAGCCAGTTTAAATAATTGTTGCTTTACTCAATACAAATTGTTCTGGCATCATTGAATCTGATGAAATATATCATGCTCTGGTTAGTATTATTGATCTTTGTTCTGCTTTGAATGGTGCTATTCTCATGTATATTCTGGTTCAGCATGACTGATCCCTGTTACTGATTCATAGGACCCTGGTTTAAAATGTAACCGAATGAGGTCAGTCTGAAAGCACATTTTTTACCTAAAAGTGCTAAATTCTCATACATGTTGCAGCCCAGTCAGGCTGCATAAAAAGTCAAGTGTATGCTTGATGTAGAAGTACAGGTGAAACTCGAATAATTAGAATATCGTGCAAAAGTAATTGCAGTAAGTGCTGCAAAAGGGGCCCAAACCAAGTACTGAGTACATACGCATGCTTGTACTTTTCAGAGGTCCGATATTGTTCTATGTACAATCCTTGTTTTATTGATTGCATGTAATATTCTCATTTTCTGAGGTTGTGGATTTGGGGTTCTTGGGGTTTTCATGAGCTGTAAGCCATAATCATCACAATTATGACAAATCACTGCTTGAATTATCTTGCTTTGCATGTAATGAGTCTATCTCATATATTAGTTTCACCTTTTAAGTTGCATTAGTGAAATAAATGAACTTTGCACCATATTCTAATTATTCGAGTTTCACCTGTATATAAAGCTGCCCTGTGCCGGCAGCACGCTGGAGATCCGGACCGTGGCTTTGCACAGTGCTCCAATCAACAATGCTGCTCGGGGTAATTGTGGTCAATGGGAGTAAAGCGCAGGGGGCTTAACGGACCGCTGGGGATCCAGACTACTGCACTCTGAGCGAGAGCAATGGTTCAGGTCTCCATCATACTGCCAGCACAGGGCATCTTCATATAGCTCTAAAGCAGTTCAAGCGGACCTTTACCCCTTTTCACTAAAAATCCCATCAGCATGCAGCTCTGCATGCTGATATAAAATTATCTTACATTAGTGAAACAAACATTCTTTTATTTTACTTACAATTTCTTTCCACTTCCTGGTCCTCTTGGGCATTAGTGATGTAATCGTTCCCAAGCATTGCATCCTGTGAAGGTTACATGAGCCGAGCATTGCTGGGAAATCTCATCTGTAATCTCACGAGATATCAGGGAAAGGCATTTTCCTCCCCTGAGATGATGTGCATGGTCACATGTCCAAGTCACATGTCCAAGAGTTCCAGGAAGTAAAGGGAGATGGATTTGTCTGCCCTTAGTAAAAATGGCAGAAGAATGGAGAGGAAAAGAAAAATAAGTAGGGCTGTTACTGATTAAAATTTTCGTGTTCGATTAATCAAAATTATTTTGAATCGATTAATTTTGATTAATTATAACGCACATACAGATCCAACTACATTGGCCTATACACATACAGCACAGCAATGAAATAATAAAATGCCCCACTCAATATGGCCGCCGCTTGAGTGGGGCAACTCAGAATAATAACGTGCTGGATTAGTGTGATCCTAGTTCATTTTATTACTTCATTGCTGTGTGTATGTGTATAGGCCAATGCCTTGGCTGGCGCTCGTGCAGAAAGTTTCTTGGGCAAACTCACCGGCCCAAGTGGCTCCGTCGGCTAACGAAGGGAAGGGGGGGGAAGAGTCCGGTGATGTCACGGACATTGACGTCACCGGACTCCTCCCCCTTCCCTTCGTTAGCCGTTACCGGACTCCTCCCCCCTTCCCTTTGTTAGCCGACGGAGCCTTTCGGGGAGGAGGGACTCCCGGAAGCCGGCGGAGAGGTGAGTGTTTTCATTAGCGATCAAAATAATTTTAATCGATCAAAAAGTTTAACGATTAATCGAGAAGTTAATCGTTAATTTCCGCAGCCCTAAAAATAAGGAATGCAAAGAATACGAAGCCGCCAATTATCTAGAAGTATGTGTTTGTAGATTGTCATTACTGAACATTTCTAAAGGTGTCTTTGTTGTTATTTTGAAGGTATGGGTAAAGGTCCGCTTTAACACATTAAGGGGAGGTGGGCAACTCTGTCCCTCCAGCTGTGCTTTAACTACAAATCCCACCATGCCTCTGGGAGTCATGCCTGTAACTGTCAGAGTCTTGCAATGCCTCCTAGGACTTGTAGTTTCCCAACAGCTGGAAGGCCGCAGTTGCCCACCCCTGCATTAAGGACGCAGCCAATTAGGGCCACACACTGCACAGATCAGATGTTTATGATCAGCCATGGACCATCATTGATCATTGATTTGGCCATCATTGATTTGTACAGGCTTTCTGTCTGCTGATCTGAAGCACCTGGCCTTACCTGGCACAAAAAAGAGCTAATCTGGGAGGTGTACGGCCCTAATCAGATGACTGTTGACCCAGCCATGAAGGCACTTCCTGTTATGAGGTGACAAAGCTCTAAAGGCCCGTTCACACGCAACCCAGTGCCTTCCAGCATGGTTCTGCATAAACCAAGCCTCCCACGTTTTGGGGCGTGAGGGGGTGTGGTGGTGGAAAAAGCAGTTCATCGGGAGTGGTCAGGTCTCGCGAGCTGCAGGATTTATTTTATTTTGCCAAGTGGCGTCGGCGTTCATCGCGATTGACCTTGGATTACATCACTGGAAGACGTGATTGATGTTGGATTACATCGTTGGATAATTTTTGGGATTTTTTTTTAAATAAAGAAATTGTTAAAAACTTTTTTTTGTGCATTTTGTTCAATTAAAGTAAAAGTCTGGTGTTTTTATTTACTTTTTATTTAACTCTACCCCTTACTCATTCACAAGTGGAAAGTCGACATCTGGGTGCTTCCTTTATGAAAGGGGTTACCCAGCTGCAGATGAGCCCCCACCGGGCCAGGGTGGGGTAGAGGCCCTTGTTTTAATTGGCATGGGGACAAGGAGCTTTTCCAGGGGGTCCCCCTCCGGAAAAGCACCCTCCGAGGGCATGTGGTCCGGTATAGTGCATGGAGGAGGGGGCCGCTTGCGCTCCCCCCCCCCCCCCCTTCCCTTCCTTCCCCGCCGGTGGGGGCCGCTCGACCCCCCCCCCCCCCTTTCCTGCCCTGCCCTGCCAGGCCAGTACGCAGATTAAGGGTCTAGTTGGGAAATGTTTAGGTATCTGGTATGACTTTTGCGGGGAACCCCATGCATTTTTTTTTTTTAACTCTTTTCATTTCTGCTCTGTTAAACACTCGGCTGCCTTTGGAATCTTAGTGAATATCCCTTCTAAATGTTTTCTAGATTAGATTTCCATTTACTTTATTATACCAAATACCTAAGATAAAATATTCAACACTCATTTTAGGATGATTTGCCTCTTTCATGTAAATTCCTCCTCGTTAGATCCCTATTATTGATTAATAGGTTTGGTTAAACATTATGTAACTTATTAAAATTCAGATAAGTAGATACCAACGCCTCCAGTAAAAGACAGAACAGAGACTTTTATGGTTTATTTGCATTGCACGGTGCACAGATGTGATATTGTTGTAACCTTCCTCCTGTACAAATATAAGATATGTGATGGGAAGGTGACACCACTGCTCTACAAATACATTGTGTGCATCCAAATATATCCTGTATTTTACATGACTCCCATCCCTGCCCTCCAAATATATCATAGGTGACATCACTACTCTCCAACTATATCATAGGTGACACCACTACTCTCCAAATATATATCATAGGTGACACCACTACTCTCCAAATATATCATAGGTGACACCACTACTCTCCAAATATATCATAGGTGACACCACTACTCTCCAAATATATCATAGGTGACACCACTACTCTCCAAATATATCATAGGTGACA